ATCCGCCGCCGCCGACCTTGCCTCTCATGCCGGCGACGAGATCCAGCCGTCTTGACTCAACATATTCTCCGCACGCCGACGACTTGGTCGCTCTCGCCGTGAAGGCCACCGTCGGACTCGACCGGATGGGGGATGCGTTAGCTGAGGTGTCGTCTGGATTGTGGATTGGACGACGATCGACGGTGGACTGTGGGCAGAGAAATGGACGCGGCAATCGACGGCGGGCGGAGAAATGAATGCGGCAATCGACGGCGGGGGTCGCAGCGAGCGGAGAAATGAATGCGGCAATCGACTTCGGGCGGCAGAGGTCAGAGGACTCGGCGGCGTGTGGCAGCGAACGAGCGATGGCTGTAGATGGTGTACCGGAATCTGTAAACGGTGGCCGGACTGAGATGGGCTGCCGGAGGGGGAGTCGGGGAGAGAGGGAGGGAGGAAGAGAGAGAGGAGAGGTGAGAGGAGAGAGGAGAGAGGAGAGAGGAGAGAGGAGGTTGGTTGGCAATAATTATGGTGGGCCCCACTCAATTTATTAAATGTTGGAATTACACCATTGTCCTCAGCATCATATATTTCACCTTGTAATTGAGCTTTATTTACGGTTGTGCCACCGCGTCCCACTTGTGGCAGATGCGTGAATCAGTTAATCTCAGCCTTTAATTTGACAGATCCAACGATGCATATTTATTCTTATTTCTTTCACCAACTTTTATTCTCATATGATCCCTTACCTATATATATATATATGTAGATTTTAGTCCAAGTCTAATAAATAGAACAAGAAATGGCTATCATAACCCGTGCTATACGATACCATAATTACCAATCGCTAAAATGTTTAGTACACACCCTTTTTTGTTCCATTTGAGATCCTCCTAATTAAGGGAATTTTATTGTATGACTTAATTTTTTGTTATTATGTCATAATAGAGCAATTTTTATCTTTTTTATTTGAGGGTTATAATTTTACATTATTCTCAATTAAAGGTTTATTTTTATATTCTAATTCTCAATTGAAAACACCAACTAACTTTATATCTGTACATATATATAAACTAAAAACTACTAATTTTGAAAATTATATTTTAAATAGTTATAAATATCTTTAGTAAAATTACTTTAATAAGAAAATTAATTCATTTAAGCTAAATTAGTTTTGCTTAATGTAACTTATTTGAATTATTTTAATTACGAAGTTAGTTTTATATATATAATTAATATTTTTATTATAGGTAGTAATTTTATATATTCTTAACCTTTTCAAAAATATAAATTTTATTCACAAATAATAATTTCTATAATTTTTTAGAATAATAAATTTTTTTTCTAAATAATTTATTTTTTAATGTTATCACATATTTAGATTAAAATTTATTTTTTAACTTTTAAAATAAATTTCATTAAGTCTTTGCATAAATGTAAATTATGAAATAACTATCTTATTAGGTAATTTTACTAAAGATATTTAATGTTATTCATTATAAGTACTTAAAAAATAATTCTTTAAAAATGGAGTATTGTGGTTTACATATTTATTTCAAAGTACAAAATGATTTGAAGTCTAAAATAAAAAAAAAAAAAACAGAATATAAAATTAGGCCTTATAATGAGAATACTAATTTAAACTTGAAAACCTCAATTGAAAAAATTAAAAATTTAAACCCTATTATAATACAATACCCAAAAAAGTACAATGAAATTTCCCCAATTTAACGATGGTTGGTTGCCCGGACTGCAGTTACAATGTGAGGTTTCAAAGCCCATGCCCGTTGACAATACATTGATCAATTAAAATTTACAAAACCTACTCATTGTATTTGTCTCAACTACTTTAGATATCTNATTTAAAATTGATTATGAAGTATACATGGTTCTCCTTAAAAAAACACATATTTATTAAAAAATATGAGACCTGGAAGTCCAATAAAAAAATTTGAAAATTCAATATAAATAACTTTCAGAAAGTTCAAACCGTCTGACGTCAAACTCTATAAGCAAGAAGTGCAACATGCTTATCCCCGATCCAATCTGGTCCTTATTATTTATCTATATAAAAAAAAAAAAAGAATTGTAGTGATATAGCACTTGTAATAGCTCGGTGGACCGGATAGAATTGCTAGCTCGGTGGACCAGTCCGTGATAGCTTCTAGCTCGATAGTAGGGTTTGAACGTGTCAAGGAGCTTAGTACGACAGCTCGAGATACAAGTCAACTGTGGTCAAAGGCTAGGTTAGGCCCATCCAGGAGCTCGGTCCAAGGAGGGGTGTCACGACCTGGTGGTCGTAACAAGGGTCACCTAAACGGCCTGATAAAGAACGGGGTTGAGGAGTCATGAGGTTGATGTGCCGACCTAGGAACCTGCTTAGACCTGATAGAAAATAAAATAGAGTCATACTTGCATAGTAGGTATATCTCGCTAAAAAGTAGATATTAGAAATTTGATATACTAGGGAACAAGATACGACAAGATCTATTCCTAGTAATAATGTTGACAACCTCCATATAAAAGGAGATAACCAGGTTCTTTATATTTTATCGCATATTCCATACTTCAGTGTACATATAATATACAGTCGAATTCTTGCTTGAGCATTAGAGGACTTACTACTGGGACCCCTCCCAACGCATTTTGCAGGTCGTCGAATTCCAAGTTGAACGACGGTTCCACTAACCGGTCTGGGATAATTCGCGTATCAAATTGGCATTATCTATGGGAAAATCTAGTCTTTTACTGGTTGACAAGGCTTAATTTTCTTATAATATTCTTTCGTGTTCAACAACGAATATATCTTGGCAGGAAATAGTTCGAAGAAGAATGTGGGCAAAGATATAGAGGAGGCATGGGTGGTCCAAGCTTCTCTTGGCACAGGACCCCAGCCCGGTTGGTCGAAGAAAGCCAACACCCAGCTCACGCCAAGGGTGACATTGTCTAGGCCACACAGCACCTTAACCACGGTGGTGAACCCTGTGGCACAACCTACTCCAAGACAAGAGCCATTGGCTCTCTCGCAGGAGACAACTGGAAAGGAGAATCAAGGGCAGCTCGCTGTTGTTCAGAATGTTAGACTCTTGATAGGGTCAAAGCACAACAAGTCGAGGCCCCAAGGGTTGTTTGACCTCAAGAATCATAAGGAGGGCAGTAGGAGAACCCTAATAGATAGGAGGTCCAGAGAGGGGACCAACTCGTTCAACTCACCAAAGTAGAGTTGGACATGATCATAGGCAGTGCAATGGCCCGAGCTCAGATACAGACGCCACCCAACCAAACTTCCCAGCATTTGCAGTTGGATCGTAGAGCTAAGGAGGAGGAAACCAGATCTACCAATTCTTCAAGCACGGTGTCTTGACCAGCGAAGGAAGCCACTTTAGAGAGGATGATGACTCAATGGCATTAGATACAAACAAGGGTAGATGACATGTTGACAGTGAGAATTCACAAGGATCCATTTGATGAGGAGGTGTTGGAAGTCGAATTGCTAGTTAATTTCCGCAAGACTGGTTTCACCACAATGAAAGGGTCGGCACAAGACTGGTTTCACCAGTTTTCAATCGGCTCGATCTATAGTTTCGAGGGGTTTAGCTCGCAGTCCGTCAATCAATTGTTTATTACTAGAGCATGAGAAGACCTATTTGACCCTGATAAATATGCATCAAAAGGACGGTGAGACGTTGTTAGTGTACGTCGCTCGCTTCACAAAAGAGTGTGTGGAGGTACCCTTGACATATTTAGTGAGATAATGGCGAAGATCGGCATGCTTTGGCTAAATGACATGGTGATCGAACACCAAAAGATTAGTTGAACTGAAACCGGCGGTAGATCAGCCCTAGCTTTCACCCGCGCCCTCTTGAAGCAGAGAGTTGATGGCCTTAGCTTTGTCTCTAGTAGCGTCTTGGCGAACGCGAGAATCCATCTCATGGGAAGTGTTTTCTTGGTTATTGGTGTTCTTATTGTCACTTGAATGCTTGGATGATGCATGGTGGCTAGTATAACGACTAGAATAAAAACAATGTATGAAAAAGAATAGACAAAAACTATGTGTGATATCTTCTTCTAGCGCCAAATTGTTGATATTTGGAATCACCAACAAGAGTATAACAAGAAAAAAATGTGATTAAGAACATACGACACAAATTGGAGTATCAAGCTTGCACATATTTCTAATGTTTTCATTGCTTGTGTAGGGTTTTTGTGTGAATTTCGTGAGGTTTTCTTCCGCCTTAACCTTATAAAGGTTATTACAATTTATATTAGAAAAAAAGTAAAAATTCATGATGACTCACTGGACATGTGGGGCGCATTTGAGAAGTCAACTACATAAAGACTGATTAGTGCCAACTTGCCTTTTTTTTTTTT